ATAACTACAAAAGAAGGAGGGAGAGAGAGAGAGAGAGAGAGAGGGGAATCGAGACCACGCACACACGCACAGAGAAAGAAGAAAAGAGCGGGCCTCACTCGACGACAGCTGGTAGGCCAGAAAGAATGAAACCACCCACCCGCCCCCTCCCGCCAATAATAATAATAATAATAATAATAATAGTAATAAAATGACATCAAAAAAATGCACACGGCACCGCTTCCGGGAGTCCCTGTCAGCACGGATTCAGAATCCACCACAGATAACACCCAGGAAAAATTAAAAAAGAAAGTTTGCCGCGAATACAACGCGGCAGGTTAACCCTCAATCGCCCCACGTTGCCCCCCGCAAACTTCACCAGTAAAACAACACAGGAATCCGACACTGCCACATTTGCGTCAGTACACCTGTGCAGTTACATTCATATCCACATTTCGCTTTTACTCGCTCCCTGTGTGTATGCGTACGTCAGAGCGTTTCTCTCGCGGGGAAAGGGGCAACGGGCATCAGCAGTAATGTAAATGCACATAAACGAGTAAACCTACTGACCCCACAGAAAGTAGGGAGGAAACCAGGGAGGAAGAAAGCATAAAATTAACAAATAAACAATCTGCTTGGCACCCTTCTACATGTGTACACAGAAGGCGAGAAAAGACAGATACGGCCCTGTGCACGGACAGTTGCAATTGAATATCGGAATGAAAAAAAAAAAGAGAGGAAACAAGAAAGACCACACCCGCAATATGTCCATTGACAAGAAAAAATACGCAAGGTTACAAAACAAAAAAAAAAGAAACTCTTGGCATAGCACCCACTCCTTTTTATCTTTTTCTCTCCTATTTATTGCTACCGTGTTTATATATATATATAAATAAACACGTATGCATATATACATGAAGGTGGTTCTTGTCGCCTCGCCCTTTGGCTCGTGTCTCGGTAGCAGCAGGTAGCAGCACGCGAATGCATTCCTCACGTGCCGAATAACATGAAAAAGAGGATGACGCTCATTGAAAAGTTGACGCAGACAAGAACAAACCCTTCCACCTGCGTCCAGTTATTTTTTTTGTAGGCATTCACCATCTGTGAAACTTGTGGGGCATTTTGGCAGAAGCCGTTTTCCCAAGCCTGCAGGGAAAGCACAAAGTCGATCAGCATGCTTATGAACGACGCCACCACCAAGACAAGAAACGGCATCCGAGTCTCCCACCCACCAGGTCGCACCAGCTGCAGCCCTGAGAGAAGAGTTAAACCGACACCTAGTCCGACCGAGGCAACGGCGGCACCCTCCATCAACTGAAAGGCGGTGTTAAAACTACCGCATTCGGAGTCTCGCACATATTCGGTGAATTTCTGCGACCCCACTTCGTACTCCCTCAGCCACAGCGTTTGCACCGCGTGCACATCCCCATCATTGTGTCGGAACAAGGGAACAACGCAAAGAACGCATGAGCACGCGAGAAAAGCCACCGATGTGATAAACACGAGAACACGCACGCAAGGCGCCATTCTATTTTTGTGTAATGTTCTCCTGTTCGGCATGCTCGACATAACAAGACAACGACTTCTCTCCGTTTTCCTGTTTTTTTTTGTTCCCTTATGGGCAGCACAAGTGTGTGTGTGTGTATTGTTTTTTTGCAGGCAAAAAAAAAGACAGTGAAGGGAGGATGTGGGACGGTTAAACAACATGGAAATACGTGTCAGTAAAAACAACAACAACAACAACGGCAGCAGTAAAAAGATGCGGCCAAAGCTAGAGGTAAAGTTGCTCCCTGAGTTCACCTCGCTCGTCCCTTTATACAGGCTCCCTCCGCTTCCTTCTCCGTGACACACATCTAATCCACAAACGCACGCACATCACATATGCATGCAGGTCGTGTATGCATGCGTGTAAACAGCGTGAGCCGTACACTATACAACCAGAAGAGGGAAAACGGCCCAGAGCAAAGATTTACAAACCGTCGATCATCGAGCTCAGTTGCAAGTCGTAACGCCTCGACGCCACTGCCACCGCCCGAAGTAAAGCGGCGCAAAAAAAAAAGGCATTTAAGAAAAATATACAAGAAGGAGTCACATGGACATCAGTGAGAGGACGAGGTTTAAGATTGCAACTACCACCATAAACGCCTGGTACACCAAACGCACGCGCGAGTCAATCTCAAGAGCACCAAGTTTTTTCCACGCCGTTGTTGCATCTACAATTAAGTCCCCTTTCCTAAAAATCCAGTAGTCGTACACCAGTTCCAACAGACTGGCGATCATCATTATCCAGCCACCCATCAGGACGCAATGCAGCAACGCAAAGCAGCGAATACTCAACTCCGCAATGATCAGTGGGTTGAGTTGCTGCTCAAGTTCCATTGCGTTGTTCATTCTGTCCGCGTAGTCCGTGACAATCGCAATATGAAAGATGGAGATGCAAAGTGCTGCCGTCTGCAGCAAAAACGCGAGCACCCAAGTCACGATTTGGTGAACAAAATGGCCAAAGAAAACCATCAAAAAACAGAAGTGCATGAACGCAAATAAAGCCGCCTGCTTTATTCTCCACGAGGTGTACGGACGACGGCGTTCAGTTAGCAGGACGGTCACCCAGTCTAACTGCATCGTCACCGCCTCGCGAAGTCTATGAGATGCATCCATACTTCAAATTTTTCTCCTCTTTGCAGTGTGCCTCTACCTCCTGCTTCCCCTTCTTAAGCTCCCTCTACTGCTGTGTGCTCCGTGGATATGGCGGCCGCGCTTGTTGTCGCTTTCCGCCCCGTCTCTTTTTCTTCTTTTCTCTTTCGTTCCTTCCGCTGTTATGGTGTTTTTTTTTTGTTACTTGGCCTGACTGCTCTGTTTAACTTCCTCAGTGGGGGGCTTTTGCCTAGAGGTGCCCGGCATTGGGGCACGCCAAATGTAGGTGGAGGAAGAAGAGGAAATAAGAAAGGCAGCCGTCGCACCAAAAGGAATGGGACCACAGGGACAATTCATCAGCGTAAAACAACAACAACAACAACAACAACAACAAAAAGAACAGCAAAGCCAAGAGATGAATGGGAGTGAGAATCACCACCACGGGCAGACTCACCTACTCACACAGAGTCAAAGCCAAAGAGGAGGTCCTCTGCGATGCCGCTAGCTACCTGCCAACTACTTCTTCTTGCGGACCATCTGCCGCCAACTCTCAGGGTACTGCGAGGGGTTCGTGTGGTGCAGCGGGGTGAGAACGGTGGGCCCCCGCGGCAGCCAGAGCCAGTGTGCCGGGGTATTTGCCTTGTGCCAGCGGACCAAAAAACGTCGCTTGGCTCTGTGATTTTGCTTGAAGAGATTCAGTGGAAACTTTGGCTCGACGTCGCCGAGCACCGGCATTAGCGGGTGCTGCGACCACTCCCGGTGCATGTCACGGATGCGGTTGAACTCCTCCGTCTTGCCGTCAAGCGTCTCTCGCATCATCCAGTGGCGCAGCTGGTCGAGGTGGTCGTAGGTGAGGCGCACAGGCCGCGGCAGCCACTCCACGGGCCCCTTGTCGTACCACGCCACGTTGTCGCTCGGCTTGGAGCGCATCTTGTTGCCGCGTCCGAAGCCGTTGCGTTTGGGCCTCGCGTAGGTTGTGCCCAAAATGGAGAAACGCTCCGGCGTCGCCGTGAGCGCGGCAATCGTGCGACGCATGCGACGCCCAACACCACTGCCAACGGGCCGTACTGCGCAAACGAAGTTGCAAAAGAAAGAGAAAGAAGTCAAAAAAAAAAAAGAAGAGGCGTGGGGAAGTAACAACCCGTCCGTGCCAAAACAACTCCACAAGGACACCCGGCAGGGCATCCCACTCACACCAGCCGCCCCCCAGGACTCTGTCTCTCTCTCTCTCTCTCAGTTACTCCTTCATTTCCAACTTCTTCCTCTTCTCGTATGCGTGCGTGCAATGTGAACTCCACCCCACCCACGGAAGCATTGAACGGAGGGAGAGGGGGAACGGGCAACAACGCGCAGGCGACATTGCGGCAACACCCGCGCACACTGGACGTGCTCACTCACAGCAAACCCCCCACATCAGCAAGCAAACAAAGAAAGAAGCAACGCCGACAAAAATAAACAAATAAAACCAAAAGGCAAACACAAAAGGGCCTAGGCACAACACCCCTCAAACTGAGAGAGCGTCGACCACACACCCCACCGCCCACAGTTGCAATCAACAACAACAACAGAGCCTTCAAAG